ATTTTTCTTCGTAAGCTTTTTCGATGATATCGGCTATCCTGTGTACTTGATGTATTGTCGAGTGTTCGTTTCTAAAACCAAATTGGTGCGAAGGGATCAGATTTTTATTTTCAAATATTGGTTTTAGTTGTTTTAGTAACAGTTTTTCAAATAACTTAGATATTATCGGTAACAATGATATAAGTCTATATGACGACATTTCATTCAGAGGTTTTCCTGGTTTAGGAATTAGGATAACTTCAGCCATTTTCCACGCATCAGGTATATATTTAAGGCGAAATGCTGCATTTATGAGGTATGTCAATTTAACAATAGCCTTCCGCGGTAGTTTCTTTAATATTTCTCCAGTAATAAGGTCATATCCTGGGGCTTTCTGTGAGTTGATGTTTGTCTGAATTTCTTTCGTAACTTCATTGGGAGTAACTAGCTTAATTTCAAGTTGTTCCATATTATGGATGGTCTCATTAGAAGTGTCTTGATTTTCATCTAATTGAAATGTCTTTTGTAGGTGGTCAGCGAAAATATCAGCTTTTTGTTGATTGTCTCTTGCCCATTTGTTATCTGCTATTCTGATAGGAGGACAGTGTTTACACGAATTTTTCATCTTTTTAGTTGCTTTCCAGAGTGAATAATCAGTTCCTTTATCATCTGTTAGCCCTACTAGGTATCTGTTGAAGGATTCTTCTTTGTGATTTAGAATTTCTCTTCTCAGTCTTTGGGTAGCCCTATTTAATATATTTTTATCTTCTGGTGATCTTGTCATCTGCCATTTCTTTCTTAGTTTTCTTTTTTCTGCTACTAGTTCTCTTATCTCGACAGGATAGTTTTTTCCAGCTGTTAATCTTCTTACTTCTGGTGTGTTCCTACATGCAGCTTGCTGGATTTCAACTATAAACCTTTCCAGTTCTTCATCTAGCTGATTTTTTGTTTTTAGTGTTATGGTCAGTTGAATAGTATTTGTTAAGTCCTCTTGAAAACCTTCCCATTTAGTTTTCCGATTTGCTAAGGTCGGTTTGGCTTCTCTTTGAATAACATTATCACTTAGAGTAAGGATTACTGCAGAATGGTTTGAATCCATATCAAAGTTTTCTTCTACTTGTGTATAGTTTGGTGAAATTTTCCTCAGAATAAAGAAATCCAAAAGGTCTGGAATCTCATTTGGGTCGGTGGGCCAATAGGTGGGTTTTTCAGAAAATTGGAATGTACCACCAAGTTCTGATGCAGCTTGGTGCAATTCTTTTCCTTTGACTGTGGTTAATCTTGAACCCCAGTTTGTGTGTTTGGAGTTGTAATCTCCACCGATTATAAATTTGTTACCTAGTTTTTTGAGTACATTGAGATAATTTTCTTTTTTCTGGTTGTATCTTGGTGGGCTAGATTGCAGCTATTGTAATTTTGCCCCCCTTAATGCTAATGGTGCTAATGGTTACCTGATTTTCTGGTTCTTGGATGCCTGGTTCCTCATAGTGGGAAATGTTATTTTTAATAATGAACGCACTTCCTCCTCTTGCTGCATTTGATGGATAAATAGTGTGATAGAAGTTATATCCTCTGAATTTAATGTATGACTCTGTTGTAAGGTGGATCTCAGTCAGACATATATCTATTTTTTGTACATCCAAGAAAACTTGGATATCAGTTTGTTTTCGGAGAATACCATTGGCATTCCAAGTGGCTATTCTAATATCTCTTTTGTCCATTGGTGGTTTTGTTATACGTTTGGGGTTTATTTAATTCTTCTAGCTTCTGGATCCTGTCAGAGAGTGAATCTATTCTGGTTATTAAGGATAATAATAATTCATGAGTAGTACTTCCTGCTAAGCTGGTTGACTGTGAAGTATGCTGCGCAATTTGTGGCGTAGGATTCATGGTTGGTTGTGACCTTTAAATTGATTGCTCCTGTGTGTTTGTTACCTGAGAATACGTTATTTTAGGTTTACTGATGTTATCCTTCCTTATCTGAAAGGTTTTAGCTACCTCACATCCTCTGTAGTTAGCAGAATGTTCCATTAGGCAGTTTATACACTTCGGTTGTTGTTCTGGACTTTTTACACAATCCTTCGTATGATATTTTCCTACGCAATTTACGCATCTTGATTCTCTTTTGCAAAAGTTGTGCGTATGTCCAAATAGCTGGCAGTTTTTGCATTGCGGAACTAGTTTTGACTTTCTTATGGTTTCTATTCTAACTCTTAGATTAAGGATTGCTTTGATTTCGTAGATTTTCTTAATATCTTCAATATTTTCGAATGATAGCATGAATAGGGGCAATGGTTTTTTATTTAGTTTACGAGTGTTATCCTCGGTTAATTCTATTTCCTTCTTTATTATATTGACAGCTTCTTTACATTTTAATCCTTGACTTTGCAAGTCTTCAACAATATCTTCTGGTTTAGATGTAGATGGTAGACCTCTTACCATTACTTTAATGTCTCTGTTCTGTTTAACTTCATAGGAATGCCCATTTATTTCTTTGGCATTCAAGGTTGATATGACATTTTTGAAGTCTTCTTCTTGTTTAGTATTAATTTTAAACTGGTTATTGCTTAGAGCTGTGGCTTGAAAGGAAATATTATTTTCTGCCAGTGTATGGCGCAATTCTTCATACTTATTGATGTTGCTTGCTATTATCGGGGGAAATTTCACTGTTTTTTCGACTGTTTCTTTCTCTTGTTGTTGATTTTTGCTACCTCCAGGTTGGCCAGGAGATGTTTCAGGAGAGGAGTTGGCTTTTCGTTTTTTTCTTCTATTGTTTCTGCTTTCCGCTGTTATCCATTCTACTTCTTTGTTAATTTGATCGCCGATTTCTTTTGCCAGTTCTTCTTCATCAGTTTCATAATTCGATAAAATTTCAGATTTTTCTTTGTTTAAAATATTAATTTGTTTTTGCATATTTTCCATATTGTTTTGCATTTGTTGCAATGCACTTTCTAGTTGCTGTTTTTCAGCTTTTTCCTGTATCCAAGCATTGTACAATGCCTGTTCATTCTGACTTCTAGCTTCATTTTTATGGAATAAGGCCTGATATTGTTGAGCTAGGAGATTTTCACCCACTTCCATTGTTTCCATATTATTTGTTTTAGTTACCTGAAGCAGGTCCTGTTTTTTTTGCTCCAAAAGCACTTTGGCAGGTGTCGATTCTGTTTTATTATTTTTTTCTATACTATATTATATTTATATTATATACTTTATATACTATATTATATACTATATTTAATGGCACATTATTATTTTTATTTTTGTTCCTAAACATTACGTTTAGCAGTCATTGTTGATTTTTTAAACACTCGCGATTAAAAAATATTTACACTACATAAACAAACGAAACTGACCTAGATACGGAGTAATGTTAATAAACATACATCCTCACCTATCGACAGCCGAATATAAACTTAAAACCACATATAAATCGCATTACATTACAACCCGTACAACCAACACAGAAAAATAACGAAATACATTTCAAAATATTGTTTAGTTTTTTTAAAAGCTTGGTTCATAATTATATATATTTTTTTGAAAACACAATTATGCGATATATCACGTGACATAGCGGAAAGTTACAAAGTTAAAATCATTTTTAAGTATTTATTTTCTTTTAATGATTTTGTGAAAAAAATTCCGAAATTGTCCAGATAAATATTTTTCGAGATACGGCCAGACGCTGCTCTTAAGAACGATCGAAGAAAAATGATTTACAATTTTAAAAATCTGATGTGTCCAACACATGACTTTCCTATCTAGTTATTATAGGCATTTTCCGGTTATTTTGTACAACCTATTGCAGCATCTCTATAAATGTTTAGAGGATAAACTAAATATATACATTTTACACATACATCTACCTCGAAACATTTTTCTATAGATATTCATTGAAAACGAAAATACAGAAAAATTTAAATTTAGCACTTTTCCATTACGGACCATTTTAGAAAAATCATGTATAAACAAAAATTATAGAAATCGATATCGCAAACAACTTTTAGTTCAACAATTTTCATAAAAATCAGAATTTTGCACATTTTGTCAAATTTCTCGAATACGGACCATTTCAGGAAATTTTGACATAAAACAAAAATTATAGATAATAATATTAGAAGTAACTTTTATTTGAACAATTTTCTTCTCCAAACATAAATAACAGATATATTCCATAAAATATAAAAACGGCCTCCCATAAAGTACCCCCCCAGATGTTCCAACTTTGTCCAAAATCTAATCATTTCACGTCAGGCCGAAATAAACCTTAAGTTTAAAATTTAATGTTTTTTCCTTTATCCGTTTTTGAGTTTTCTTCAAATTTCGAAATTTACACATTTTCTCAAATATCTCGAATACGGTCCATTTTAGAGAAATTATGTATAGGACAAAAATTATAGAGAATTATATTATAAACAACTTTTATTTGAACAATTTTTATAAAAAATTATGTTTTTTACATTTTGTCAAATTTCTCGAATACGGACCATTTTAGAAAAATTTTGCATAAAACAAAAATTATAGATAATTATATTAGAAGTAACTTTTATTTAAAGAATTTTCTTCTCCAAACGTAAATAACAGATATATTCCATAAAATATAAAAATGACCACCTATAAAGTACCCCCCCAGATGTTCCGACACTGCCCAAAATCTAATCAGCTCATTGGACGCTGAAACAAAGCTTAAGTTTAAAATTTGGTGTTTTTCTGTGTATCGGTTCATGAGTTATGCGTTATACAGACACACACACACACAGACACACACACACACACACACAGACATCATCACGAAAATAGTCAAAACGGATTCAGGGGACCTCAAAACGTAAAAATCCGTCGAAAACTCGAGGTCGAAAAAAATCATGATTCCTATACTTTCCTTATATCTGTATACAGATAGGAAAGTAAAAATAGACAACATGATAACTTTGGATGTTGTCAAATGTTTCAAAATCGGAAATTGTATTTTATATAGTGTAACCTTTTAGAGTATCATCATTTTATAAATAGTTACATACCTCTATTAATTTCGATATGTCAGATGAAAAACTGGAATTTGTATAAATATATTTTAAAGCCTGTCCAGCAGCGCATCTCTGTTTATGGTTTATATTTAAGTTTCCACTGATCAAATAAGAAGGATTTATGTCGTACATTTTCGCCAATAAGTCAAGCCCATCCATACCTAAAAGATTTTTTATTTTATAATATAATGTGAAATGCATTAAATCATTTTGTTTTGGAGTGGAGGTTGTTAAGTCTACCCAACTGAGGCCAATTAATTTCACTACAACGCAACCTAACAGTTTGTTGTTTTTCTAATTAGGTATAATCGAGGGTATAATAATGATATATTGTAATGTTTAAGTATTGTTGAACAAATCAATATGGAGTGGAACCATGGAGGTAAAATAAGGAAGGAGACACAATCACGTGGTCAAAAGTATCACCACGTTGGCCGTGTTGATACTAGACTTCCTTCACTTGTGACAGTTTATATTTTAATGTATAGTTTAATCTCAATATAATTAATTATATATGTTTATATATTATTTATTGTTTCGGCCTTTACTTGATGAAAATCCATATTATCTTAAATGAGTAAAACCAAATTTGGTAGATTTTCACAAAACTTATGTTTATATAAACTATTCGTCTCAAAAACATTAAAATAACAATGGCGTCGTGTGCTAAGCGCAAATGCACGAGTAGGAATGGTGTGGATAACAAAAAAAATTAAAAGTAACATTTCATGGTGTAGTATAAACACAGTGTAGAGTGGTAATAAAATAAAATGTTGTTTTTTAGAAATAAATTAAATGGCTTCTTATCACTGACAGTAATAAAGTAAATATTATAAACTACATTCTAAATTAGCATACATAGAGATTACAGAAATGTGGAGAAAATAGATCACGATACATGTCTAATAGATCATGATTATTTGCCTAATAATCTTAACATATCTAATTTTTCGAAACAGGTAATCACTTACATTGGAGGATATGTTGTTCATATTTTACAGAAGTCTGTTGTTTGTTAACAATATGTAAATATGTTAGTTAGTGTAAACACAAATTGAAATATTTTTTCGTTCATCTCTAAGAAATTTAGGAAAAAATTACAGTACCCTTCCACTGATGTGATAGATATTTGCTTAAGGTAGTTCACTCGCAACAGTCGTACATAAAAATATCGCATAATGGTGAATACCAAAACTTCGAGATTCTCAATGCTAATCAATTTTATTTTTGTAAGGGACTGTACAAAACACATGTATATAAACCAAATGGTTCAAAGAGAATCGCTGATTCCATTTCTCAAACGCAGTGGATGAATTATTTTTTTAAAAACACGTCGCGAGATCATAATAACCTCTTAGCTGATCGAGTGCTATTTTGTTACGTGTAGTGATTACAATGTTGCCAAGTTGTGATAACTTTACGCAATTACGCGTCAACTGCTATAAAAATATTTTTATTTTAAAAATCTATATATCTGTTTACTAAGACGGTCAAAAAATTTAGCGATTTTTTAGAAAATTTTATAACTTCTTGATTTACGTTACATTAGTTTTTAAAAAATATGGTAAGAACCGTTTTCGAGATATCTTGAAATAAATGCATTGCTTGTGTACATGACAGGCTTCAAGAGTGTTAATTATGCACATTTTAATTGTTAGTATCTCGTTTCACAGACGGTCCAAAAATTTAATTTTTTTTAGTTACGTAAACGACACTTTTATTAACCTTATATTTCAATTTTATTGAATTCTTAAGAAAAAACCGTTTTAAGTGTGAACTACCTTAAAAAGTGAAACAATTAAAAACCCATTATTTAGAAATTCGTCTGATTTTTTTGTACAATTTATTTTATGTCTAGTGTTAAGAGAATTTATGTATTCAAATATATTTTCGGATTTATTACTTCATACCTTGGACCAATCCCCTTCGGAAAATCATAGGATTTTATTAATAAAAGGAGTCTTTAATTAATAGATTAGATTTAATTAGGAATGTGGGTCTTTTTAGGACTCCATAGACTAGTAAGTAGTTCTCCGGTGTAGCTAGTTGCTCTTGGTTTTTCTTCTTCAAGTACAAGAAATCTCAATATTGATAGACTTTCGTAGTAGCACAATACGCGTTCTGCAGTTTCCTCTTCTTCGTGGCAGAATCGGCATAAGGTCTATTCTGTCAGACCGATATTATACATATGTTTGTTAACCCTACAATGCCCTGATAATGGACCTACTAGTACTTTCTAATATGGCCTAGTAAATGCTCCGTTGGCTTAGGCAATGGTCCTTTTAAGAACTCTTTGGCCTGTCTCTATCCCGGTGACTTTTTTTACCATTCTTGAGATTTTTAAACATTCACTGCTTTGTGTATATTCTGATAGCTGTCTTTGTGACACCATAGAAGGGTTTTGGGCCAAAAAGAGCCTTTGAGGCACATTTTCGGGCGCCAGTAACCCAGACAGCACACCAAATCCTTTGGATATCTACTGAACATCCCAATATCCACTGAATGTCCAGTTCATGGTGGATATCTATTTTATGTCCATGAGATTTAATTTATATACATGCAAATGTCCATAAATTATAGTAATTCCATCAGAAATTATTAAAAAATTACGCCATTATGGCTAATAGTACCATTTAGATATTTCAAATAATTTTTTTTAAATGTATTCAATATCCCATGATTATCCACTAAATATATCAAAGTAAGGCGCGAACGCAAACCATGGTGGATATCCACTGGATGTAATTTATGGATGTAATATGTACATAGAATAAACAAATTGATTTAATAATTATTAAATTATTTAAATATTACGCCATGTGATAACTAAGAAAGTATGTAGGTATAGTTTATAGAAATTTAAAATTAGTAAGTTGTATTCAACATCTCACAGATATCCACTAGATAAATAATATTGACAATGAACGCGAGCGCAGGCTCGGATATTTCCTGCCCTCACAGGTGCCATCGGCTAGGGATGCGCACATTTTTTAGAAACATCAATGTTGACACCAACTGTCTACGTAAATTGGCGGCATATGATAGTCTTTTTTATTACTAATTTTAGAAAAAAAGTTGTTATTTATAAAAAGTCGAGCATGGTGCAGAACCTAAAATACAACCATTAAATATCAAATTTTATCAGTTGTATAAAGAATAAAGGTACTTTACTCTTGAGTAAAACTCATATTTTTTGACAAACCTTGTATACCACTAAAAAAAATTGATATTTGATGAATGTATTCTAGGTTTTAGATAATGCAGAACGTTTTATGAAGAATAACTTTTTTTCCTAAAATTAATATTAAAAAAGTTTTCCATATGATTCCAACTTAGAGGGATACCTACACAGATCTAGCCCTTTTAAATTATATATTGTATAAGTGAAACTCTGTACCAAAGGTTTTTTCAGACTTTATTTTCATTTTGTATAGCTTGAATTAAAATATAGTTTCACTTTTTGAGGAATTCTACAACATAGCGTCTTTTTTTTTCAGAAAGAAAATTCCAGTTGAAATTGCGGCGCCAATATAATGTGTGTGTATGTGTCATTAGGTTTACGTTTTCCTTGGCTGCGTCTACTATGTTAATTCGTTAGCTTAAATGTAATATCTTATTTAATATAATAAATAGTATGTTTACACTATAGTTTACTTTTTTTAAATATATTTGGCTTGCTCATAATATTTGTCTTTGTTTGACCTAACTATACTTAATACAACAACAATAAAGAATAAAATTTATTTGTAAGATGCTTAGGGAGCGTCCATTAATTGCGTGAGGTAATTTTCAGGATTTTTTGACCCCCCCCCTCCCCCCTGGTGAGATTTCGAAAGATTTTCCTCAACTCCCTCCCCCCTCCCCTAATCTCACGTGAGATTTTTAAAAATTTGTTTTGGGTAGGGTTGCCACTTTTTTGAAAAGTGAAAAAAAGGACAATGACGTTGACAGGGGCTCTGGTATACAAAAAGTCATCATCACTCTTGCAGTAAACTTATTAAAAAAAAAGTCGTCGAGCTGAAGGAAAGAAATTCTAATCTTATTAAGCTTCTAAAAAAAAAGTCGTCGGGCTGAACGAAAGAAAATCTTCCTCATTGTCTTAACGAGCTTCTAGAAAAAACGGTCGTCGGGCTGAACGAAAGAAAATCTTCCTCTTTCTCTTACCGAGCTTCTAAAAAAAACATCGGAACGAAAGAAAATCTTCCTTTTGGTCTTGCCGAGCATCTAAAAAAAAAAGAGGTCCTCAACGTATGTGCGCTGTTGCTCAAACTCAAAAAAACGACACATCTGTCATATGAAAAGAAGAGGGCGTTTACCGTAAAAAGGACATTTTAAGCTTTAAAAAGTCACAAGGACATTTTGCTTCAAAACAGGGCTGTCTTGTTCAAAAAAGGACAGGTGGCAACCCTAGTTTTGGGTGTAAATGCGTTGGAATTAAAAAAAAAATCAAAATATGTTCTATTACTTTTAAGACAAGCAAAGACTAGTATTTGAGAATATTGCCGTAATATAAAATTTCTAAAAGCATTCTTTACTTTAATTTAACTTTTCTTTTTCACGAAATTTTACATCGTTTTCTATTAGAAAAAAATTACGTCAGATTTACAAAGACCCCCCTCTCCCCCAAGTGAGATTTGGAAAGCTTTAGCTTGATCCCCTCCCCCCCTTGAACACCTCACGTAATTAATGGACGCCCCCTTATATGTTAGACAACTCGTGCGTTGTATTCAGTTTAAAACTTACTTCACATATTCAATGATATTTTGGTGGTTTTTAGGTATGGTGTATAATATTTAATTGTAAAAATAAAATGTTGATACTCTTTCTACTCTACATGCTATACCTATGCTGTGTAGCATCAAAAATAGTTAACACTAGAATAGTAAACTTTGTATGTATATACCAAATTAAAAATACAGGGAGTTCTGATGTTATGCTACTGAAATGCTGATTTTCTTCATATGGAATGTTTTTAGATTATCCAGTACAGTATAGAAGATATTCTATGGATATCCAGCAAAATATCTAATAGATACCTTTAGTAGATGTTCATAAGTAACCAATGAATATATCCTATAGTAGATGTTTAACATACCCAATGTACATCCATTATTTGATATATTTAAGATATCGAAAATTGTATGCCTATGGGGTGTCGTATTTAATGATTAATTAATTTTTTTTTGAAAGTGGAACAATACTTATCTTTCAAAAAAAAAATTAATGAAGCATTAAATACGACACCCTATAGACGTACAATTTTCGATATCTTAAATATATCAAATATTGGATGTACACTGGATATGTTAAACATCTATAGGATATATCCATTGGTTACTTATTAACCTCTACTAAAAGTACCTATTAGATATTTTGCTGGATATCCATAGAATATCTTCTATATCCTGGATAAAGACGGACATTTGGATATCCATATTAGATCCAGTGGATATTTATGATATCCTGTGGATATATTGGATATCCACAAAATATATTCTGTGGATATCTCTGGGATTTCGTGTATTGTCTGGGAGATACCCCTTAGATATTTTGCTGGATATCCATAGGATATCTTCTATATCCTGGACATAGACGGACATTTGGATATCCATATTAGATCCACGAGATATTTATGATGTCCTGTGGATATATTGGATATCCACAAAAGATATTCTGTGGATATCTCTGGGATTTGGTGTGTTGTCTGAAAAAATACCAGTGTCAGACTTTATTACTTAAGAACAGAATTGACAAGTCATTGAGTACTGGACATCAAAGTAATAATATCATATTATTTAAAGGGCAATAAATTTATTTTATTTAATTGTTTGTTTTATTTTTGTAATTTTAAGTTTCATGTCCAGTATGGCTGTATTTTGTAAAATTAATTTTAGATTCATGATAAAAGTATATATAAATAATATTTTTTTTACAATAACACTTTTTACCCCAAAACCCCAAAGTACTTGATTTTTAAAGAAAATATTTGTTTTTTTCTTCTTCGTTTATAAAAAAAAGATTTAATCTCCTTAAAATTTGTGTTTAAATATGCAATAATTACCAATCTTTATTTGGTTTTAATTTAAAATTTCTATTTAAATAGTTAAATAGATTTTTAATATTTAAATAGTTTTTTTTTAATAGTAAAATAGTTTTTGTTTAAATCGTTAAATTGTTTTTGTTTAAATAGTTTTTCAAAATTTGATTTTTTTAGTTCTGAAACAAAATTCCCCTAAATCTAAATATACAAACGAAAATTATATTATACTAATTGTTTATATCTGTTTTCGACTCAAATTGGAAAAAATCATTTTAGGGCATTCTATCCAGATTAAAAAAAAACAGTTAGTCTGGACAGGGTACGCACGCCAATATTTATACTACACTTACGTCCATTTAACCCCGCCGACCGATGTAATTTTTAGAACATGTCCTTACTTATTTGTGGCTCACCCTGTAAAGGAAAATAATTTTTGACCCCTTTTTATATTCGTAAAATGACAAAAGATGTTACAATCATAGGATTTGAATGGTTCCATGGACATAATTAAGAGGTCAAGAACATATCAAAAATTTATGACATTTAACAGCTCGCCACTTTTCCATAAGTGGTGGAATTTGGTAGAATAGTATGGAGAGGTTAATTACCCCCATTATAACCCTTCTATTCTCGTCTTGGTAGGAACCAGCCAAGAGATTGAGTATATTTTTGTATTATTATTTCAGCATTTATTTCCTGCACTTTACTTTTGTATTATACGATTATGTAGCTTGAGAGACATGTTGAATGTCGTCGATCAACGCTTGATATGTGTGATATGAATAGGTACGTTAACACTTATGACCCATGAGGATAGCAGATATTTTTGGTATCGACAGGTGTTATATTGTGTCATAGTTTTTAAATTATAAAGTTCGTATAGGTTTACTAGACTACATATACAACATGTATCTGGAACTTTGCGCTTTACTTAAAGAGTTTTCAGAGCTGATCTGAATATATCAATAATTAATTTTGTCTTTACTAAAAGATTTATGCCTTACCATAATAGATACTTTCTTGGGAATTGATACCAATTAGCAATGGTATCTTAAGCGTCATGCCTTTTTTTATTTTCTCATAGTTCATACCCATTATTATAGGTTTTCTTGCTTCTGGCGATTCTCTAGTTGGTACCCAAGTAAGTGAGCCCACAAACTGGCAGTTTAGTTTGGTGGTGGGCAACTAAAATAAAAAAAATAGTGAGTATTGTATAACCTTTATTGTAGAACCATATACCTAAAACTAATAGTATCTATGAAAATATAAAAATAAAAGATTTGTCCCAACGGCGAAAAACTACTAGACTAATCCATTCATTGCTGTCAATCAGATTGTGTTTCATATTACACAGGAAGAGCTGTCGCATCGGCTGTAGCATTAGAAAGAATGATAAAGCTGCTAATTTGAAGTGAGATGGTTTGTGCGAGTTTGTTTACATAAGGAGCGAGCATGCGTTTTATGAATGAATCATTACTTACATTTACGACTGCTGTCACACTGCAAATCATCTTTAAATATGATAATACCGACAAGCAAAATACATTAAACTGATAATAACTGGCATTAGGAATGCAAATATCCGAAGAGTCAGGGGAAAGAAAGATGAAAGTCCAGTTTTAGTCAAAAATAAAGTAATGAGTGCAAAATGTAGTTTTGCACCTCTATTTTATTATCCCATAGTAAAACAACAATCACAAGAAACGATGGCTAAAAATACGATAGACTAAAAAAAATATAAATGTCCACGCGTTATGAGGAGAAACGCTTAAAGCCTTGGTTTCTTCGAACACTCCGTTAAAAATTACTTCAGAGATAAAATAGTAGACACTTCTTGAGAGATAAAACATTGTTTAAAAATTGCACGAGAGATCAAATATTATTCAAAAATGGCTCGAGATGTAAAAAAGGGTGTTAAAAATTGGCCGAAGTATAAAATAGTATTAAAAATTTCTTGAGGGGTAAAATATTGTTCAAAAATTGCTCTAGGATAAAAATACTGTTAGAAATTTATTGAGAGATAAAACTATTTAATAATTTTTCGAGAGATTAAATAGTATTATTAATTGTTAAAATTGTGTTCAAAAATTGTTCCAGGTAAAATAGTATTACAAAATATTAAACTCTTGTTCAAAAATTGCTCGAAGGATAAAATACTATTCAAAAATTTGTTGAGAAATAAAATATTGTTCAAAATTGACTCAAGAGATACCTACTATTAGAAATTTCTCGAGAGATAAAACATTGCTTAAAAATTCCTCGAACGATAAAATATTGTACAAACATTGCTCGAGATATAAAACATTGTTAAAAATTTATCGAGAGTTAAAATATTGTGCAGTTTGCTAAAGAAATAAAAAAAGTTGTTAAACATTGCTCGAGAGATAGAATAATGTTATAAATTTATCGAAAGATAAAATATTATTTAAATATAGCTCAAAAGATAAAAAAAGGTTTAAAAAGTGTTCGAGAGATAAAATAGTATCATAAGTTATTAAAATCTTATTCAAAAATTACTCGAGAATTAAAAAATACTGTTAAACATTTCTCGAGAGATTAAAAATTGTTAGAAAGATAAAAAATGTTAATAAAAATTGCTCGAGAGATAAAATGGTGTTAGAAATTATTAAAATTTTGCTCAAAAATTGCACGAGAGATCAAATATTGTTCAAAAATAGCTTGAAAGGTAAAAGAGCTGATAAAAATTGCTCGAGTGATTAAAAAGTGTTAAAAATTTTACAAAAAAATTTGGTACAAACATTGCTCGAGGAATAAAAAAAGTTGTTAAAAATTGCTCGAGAGATAGAATACTGTTATAAATTTGTTTAAAATTATTTAGAAACTGTTCGAGAGATAAAATATTATCAAAAGGTGTTAAATCTTTTTCAAAAAATGCTCGAGAGATAAAAAATGTTAGAAATTGTTAAAATTTTGCTCAAAAATTGAACGGGACATCAAAAATTGTTCCAAAATATTGAAAGGTAAAAAAAGGCTTTTAAAAATTGCTAGAGTAATTAAATAGTGTTAAAAATTGTACAAACATTGCTCGAGGGATAAAAAAAGTTGTTAAAAATTGCTCGAGAGATGAAATAATAGTGTTAGAAATTGTTAAAATTTTGCTCAAAAATTGCACGAGAAATCAAATATTGTTCAAACATAGCTTAAAAGATAGAAAACTGTTAAAAATTGCTCGAGTGATTAAATAGTGTTAAAAATGTTACAAAAAATTTTGTACAAACATTGCTCGAGGGATAAAAAAAGTTGTTAAAAATTGCTCGAGAGATAGAATACTGTTGGAAATTTATCGAGAGATAAAATATTTTGTAAAAATAGTTCAAGAGATAAAAAAAGGTTTTTTTTAAAAACTGTTCGAGAGATAAAATATTATCAAAAGGTGTTAAATCTTTTTCAAAAAATGCTCGAGAGATAAAAAATGTTAGAAATTGTTAAAATTTTGCTCAAAAATTGAACGAGACATCAAAAATTATTCCAAAATAGCTTGAAAAGTAAAAAAAGGCTTTTAAAAATTGCTAGAGTAATTAAATAGTGTTAAAAATTGTACAAACATTGCTCGAGGGATAAAAAAATTTGTTAAAAATTGCTCGAGAGATAGAATACTGTTGGAAATTTATCGAGAGATAAAATATTTTGTAGAAATAGTTCAAGAGATAAAAAAGGTTTTTTTTAAAACTGTTCGAGAAATAAAATATTATCAAAAGGTGTTAAATCTTTTTCAAAAATGCTCGAGAGATAAAAAATGTTAGAAATTGTTAAAATTTTGCTCAAAAATTGAGCGGGACATCAAAAATTGTTCCAAAATAGCTTGAAAGTTTAAAAAAAGGCTTTTAAAAATTGCTAGAGTAATTAACTAGTGTTAAAAATTGTACAAACATTGCTCGAGGGATAAAAAAATTTGTTAAAAATTGCTCGAGAGATAGAATACTGTTGGAAATTTATCGAGAGATAAAATATTTTGTAGAAATAGTTCAAGAGATAAAAAAGGTTTTTTTTTAAAACTGTTCGAGAAATAAAATATTATCAAAAGGTGTTAAATCTTTTTCAAAAATGCTCGAGAGATAAAAAATGTTAGAAATTGTTAAAATTTTGCTCAAAAATTGAGCGGAACATCAAAAATTGTTCCAAAATAGCTTGAAAGGTTAAAAAAAGGCTTTTAAAAATTGCTAGAGTAATTAACTAGTGTTAAAAATTGTACAAACATTGCTCGAGGGATAAAAAAAGTTGTTCAAAATTGCTCGAGAGATAGAATACTGTTGAAAATTTATCGAGAGATAAAATATTTTGTAAAAATAGTTGAAAAGATAAAAAAAGGTTTTTTTTTTTTAAAAACTGTTCGAGAGATAAAATATTATCAAAAGGTGTTAATTCTTTTTCAAAAAATGCTCGAGAGATAAAAAATGTTAGAAATTGTTAAAATTTTGCTCAAAAATTGAACGGGGACATCAAAAATTGTTCCAAAATAGCTTGAAAGGTAAAAAACGGCCTTTAAAAATTGCTAGAGTAATTAAATAGTGTTAAAAATTGTACAAACATTGCTCTAGGGATAAAAAAAGTTGTTGAAAATTTATCGAGAGATAAAATATTTTGTAAAAATAGTTCAAAAGATAAAAAAGGTTTTTTTTTAAAAATTGCTCGAGAGATGAAATAATAGTGTTAGAAATTGTTAAAATTTTGCTCAAAAATTGCACGAGAAATCAAATATTGTTCAAACATAGCTTAAAAGATAAAAAACTGTTAAAAATTGCTCGAGTGATTAAATAGTGTTAAAAATGTTACAAAAAATTTTGTACAAACGTTGCTCGAGGGATAAAAAAAAGTTGTTAAAAATTGCTCGGGAGATAGAATACTGTTGAAAATTTATCGAGAGATAAAATATTTTGTAAAAATAGTTCAAGAGATAAAAAAAGGTTTTTTTAAAAACTGTTCGAGAGATAAAATATTATCAAAAGGTGTTAAATCTTTTTCAAAAAATGCTCGAGAGATAAAAAATGTTAGAAATTGTTAAAATTTTGCTCAAAAATTGAACGGGACATCAAAAATTGTTTCCAAAATATTGAAAGGTAAAAAAAGGCTTTTAAAAATTGCTGGAGTAATTAAATAGTGTTAAAAATTGTACAAACATTGCTCGAGGGATAAAAAAAGTTGTTAAAAATTGCTCGAGAGATGAAATAATAGTGTTAGAAATTGTTAAAATTTTGCTCAAAAATTGCACGAGAAATCAAATATTGTTCAAACATAGCTTAAAAGATAGAAAACTGTTAAAAATTGCTCGAGTGATTAAATAGTGTTAAAAATGTTACAAAAAATTTTGTACAAACATTGCTCGAGGGATAAAAAAAGTTGTTAAAAATTGCTCGAGAGATAGAATACTGTTGGAAATTTATCGAGAGATAAAATATTTTGTAAAAATAGTTCAAGAGATAAAAAAAGGTTTTTTTAAAAATTGTTCGAGAGATAAAATATTATCAAAAGGTGTTAAATCTTTTTCAAAAAATGCTCGAGAGATAAAAAATGTTAGAAATTGTTAAAATTTTGCTCAAAAATTGAACGGGACATCAAAAATTGATCCAAAATATTGAAAGGTAAAAAAAGGCTTTTAAAAATTGCTAGAGTAATTAAATAGTGTTAAAAATTGTACAAACATTGCTCGAGGAATAAAAAAAGTTGTTAAAAATTGCTCGAGAGATGAAATAATAGTGTTAGAAATTGTTAAAATTTTGCTCAAAAATTGCACGAGAAATCAAATATTGTTCAAACATAGCTTAAAAGATAGAAAACTGTTAAAAATTGCTCGAGTGATTAGATAGTGTTAAAAATGTTACAAAAAATTTTGTACAAACATTGCTCGAGGGATAAAAAAAGTTGTTAAAAATTGCTCGAGAGATAGAATACTGTTGGAAATTTATCGAGAGATAAAATATTTTGTAAAAATAGTTCAAGAGATAAAAAAGGTGTTTTTTAAAAACTGTTCGAGAAATAAAATATTATCAAAAGGTGTTAAATCTTTTTCAAAAAATGCTCGAGAGATAAAAAATGTTAGAAATTGTTAAAATTTTGCTCAAAAATTGAACGGGACATCAAAAATTATTCCAAAATAGCTTGAAAGGTAAAAAAAGGCCTTTAAAAATTGCTAGAGTAATTAAATAGTGTTAAAAATTGTACAAACATTGCTCGAGGGATAAAAAAAGTTGTTAAAAATTGCTCGAGAGATAGAATACTGTTGAAAATTTATCGAGAGATAAAATATTTTGTAAAAATAGTTCAAAAGATAAAAAAAGGTTTTTTTTTAAAAACTGTTCGAGAGATAAAATATTATCAAAAGGTGTTAAATCTTTTTCAAAAAATGCTCGAGAGATAAAAAATGTTAGAAATTGTTAAAATTTTGCTCAAAAATTGAACGAGACATCAAAAATTATTCCAAAATAGCTTGAAAAGTAAAAAAAGGCTTTTAAAAATTGCGTAGAGTAATTAAATAGTGTTAAAAATTGTACAAACATTGCTCGAGGGATAAAAAAAGTTGTTAAAAATTGCTCGAGAGATAGAATACTGTTGGAAATTTATCGAGAGATAAAATATTTTGTAAAAATAGTTCAAGAGATAAAAAAGGTTTTTTTTAAAACTGTTCGAGAAATAAAATATTATCAAAAGGTGTTAAATCTTTTTCAAAAATGCTCGAGAGATAAAAAATGTTAGAAATTGTTAAAATTTTGCTCAAAAATTGAGCGGGACATCAAAAATTGTTCCAAAATAGCTTGAAAGGTTAAAAAAAGGCTTTTAAAAATTGCTAGAGTAATTAACTAGTGTTAAAAATTGTACAAACATTGCTCGAGGGATAAAAAAAGTTGTTAAAAATATCTCGAGAGATTGAATACTGTTGAAAATTTATCGAGAGATAAAATATTTTGTAAAAATAGTTCAAAAGATAAAAAAAGGTTTTTTTTTAAAAACTGTTCGAGAGATAAAATATTATCAAAAGGTGTTAAATCTTTTTCAAAAAATGCTCGAGAGATAAAAAATGTTAGAAATTGTTAGAATTTTGCTCAAAAATTGAACGAGACATCAAAAATTATTCCAAAATAGCTTGAAAGGTAAAAAAAGGCTTTTAAAAATTGCTAGAGTAATTAAATAGTGTTAAAAATTGTTCAAACATTGCTCGAGGGATAAAAAAAGTTGTTAAAAATTGCTTGAGAGATAGAATACTGTTGGAAATTTATCGAGAGATAAAATATTTTGTAAAAATTGTTCAAGAGATAAAAAAAGGTTCTTTTAAAAATTGCTCGAGAGATGAAATAATAGTGTTAGAAATTGTTAAAATTTTGCTCAAAAATTGCACGAGAAATCAAATATTGTTCAAACATAGCTTAAAAGATAGAAGAAGAAAGA